TATGACACGTGTATACTGATCGAACGTGTATGTGAACTTGACGTTGTTCCATCGGCGTACAAGTGATTCTTTTTAGCTTCCAAATAAGGTTAGGTCTCAGTATGATGACTCGGGCGCGGAGGATTAATTAGGAGCCATAAAACTTTGGAAAGATCTTTCTTAGGAATCGATGTAAAGTGAACTTGAATATTGCTTCACCGGAGTCAGTCTAATTTTTTTAAGGTCCAAGTGAGATTCTGATGTGACGAATTATCGAAGGATCGTTAATCATAAACGATAGGAACGGAATTTGAGGTGGCGAGTCAGAACGAACCTCTTCGCCGATCGTATTAGCCGGTAACGCTGCATCGTCGTTGGTAACCAGCTTGAAAGACACATTTGCATATCAATTATTTTCTGCCTACACACCGTGCAATATTATACTTCGATAGTTCGCAGACAATCTTGCTGTGAATATTATCCCTCGGGCAGTCACCTACAACGTTTCGCTATTATAAAATGCAATAACCGCTTGTTCCACCAGCTTTCTGAGTTCCCTTCAATGTTTCATTGCAGAATCTTATTGTACTTAACTTCTCCATGGACGAACTCATTAAGTTTGAAAAAAGATAATTCTCTTTATTTTTCTCCTTATGTTATTTTTCATTATTTTAATTATTTTATATCAGTCTTGTTATTTTCCATCTTGCGTTGTAATCCATTAGAAATTGAAAACAGTAGTGACGTGCAAAATATTTCAACGAAAATACGGAGTCACTGAGCATCAAACATCAATTACGAGTACAGTAATAAGCTGCGGTTTTACGCTCTTTAACTCGACCCCTACCGATCGATATCTTCTCTACATCTTTCACGGGATCTTCTGGGCAACTGATGATGAATTTCTGTCGAATATGAAATCTGGAAAATTTCTTATTAATAAGAAAATTCGTGAAGCGAGGTCTAGTGAATAAAACTTGCTAATATTCTAACGTAAAGATATATTCTTCATGGCTATTATTGCGTGAATTAATTATGATTCCGTTATAAAGTTTTATGAATTACTTCGCGGAGGGGACCTCCCGTATCCTTCAGAACATATCCTTTAGGATTTCAAGGGCCATCTGTCTGAGAGAGATTCGTGATACGATCTTGGGCCCTCCGCGAAAGAATACTTAGGATGCGTGGATCTCTAAAGGGGGATCATAATCCGGCCTCCCACGATGTTCCTAAATTTAACGTTTCTTATGAATTACGAGAGACCCGTGCACGATTTTCGAACCCTGGCCAGCCGTGTTTCATAAAACGCGACCCACGTGCGCGCAAGAGCAATCGACGAGATGAATTGATTGGTACAGTATGGTACAAAAGTCCAAGAAGTTTATCCTTTCCGCTTTCAAAATTTTAAAAGCTTCCTCCTATCTCCTGTGAAAGTCTTGAGAATTTCGTAGAACCAAGTAAGCTGAGAATGTAAATGAGTATATTCTACTGCAGAAGGTTTTGAGAATATCTTGAGAATATGGTCGTATCGCAGTCACGTTCGTAGATCAATCGGTTGAAGAACAGGCTCATGGTGCATCTGCCCTTTGAGGCGAGCTACCCTCGAAACAACAGGTAGATCGTTATCGTCGATGCCACTTTCGCCACGATCGACGTGAATGAAAAGAGCCAAGCATGGAGATAATCGTACGTTACAGAGGAAACATTTCCGGAAACGACTGTGTTTCGTTCACATTCAAGAGGATTACCTCCCTACTATTTGCATTCATAACAAAGTGAACCGTGTATTTATCCAATACAACCAATGTTGCTCTAAAAAGCTTCCAGCGGAATATCCAACGGACATTCTTGGAGGTAAATAATTCTTCTTTGACTAGTTCAAAAGTCACAAAATTCTATTCTCTAATGCGTCTAACGCTCTTTCACTGTTGTTCCTAATGGATCCGTGCATGCTCACACACGCTTTGTTCTCCAATGCGGGGGAAAATACATCAAGAGGTATATCGCGGTGATTTTGATAGCACCGCTGTCGCCAAAGAAATGATGGATCACTTCTCCTTTCTCCCTCTGTCGCGTTGGTAAGCAGGCTCGTTCAAAAGAAGCTACGTTCGTTTTTTTCCGGTGTTACGATATATTCGGCCACTGTGATTAATGGCAGTGATCTTTACTCTAATCGTGGAACAGGTGCCACTGAGAAGTGCTTAATCCTCCGTCCAACGTTTTGCTGATCTTTCGTCAACCCTTAGAGGCTGTCATGGCTGACATCCCGTGAATTTTGTTTTAACGTCATTAAAAGATTCTAACCATTACCAATCTTATCTTGAGATGAGTTATTATTGATATCATTGATAGCGAAATACTTCCATAAAACAGACCAATTCTCCCATGTACTTTACTATAAGCATAACAGAAGTTAGTTTAGAGTTATAAGTTAAGTCAATTAAATATTTATAAGTGTAAAAGTTCTACTTGTAACTGGAGTGCCAAATCTATTTGTCTTTCACCTCTCTCATCCATTTCATTGCTCAGAAAAATTTAGACGAAATTCCATTCTTATACGACGACTTATTTATATATATCTTCTTTGGTCCATCCAATCTGCATCGAAGATACAATCCTCATGGGTAATTAGAACAATATAATAGTTGTATTATACTCGTTCAGCTATAAGAAAATTGTATTTCCAAATCAATTCGAATATCAAAGGATCTGTTACCTGCTAGAGACTATATCAATTCCAGTTTTCTATTTATTCTTTCTTCGATTCTCCAGAAAATAATACAAGGTTCCATTTTTGTGCGTCGATCCATTTACACCTTGCGAGGACAGGATAAAAAAGGGACGGTCCGAGAACCATTAGGAGGATTGGAAAAAATGTTTCTTACCCCAAGAGCCATCGCAACGCTGCTCGTTTCGGCATCCTCTAATCTCGAAGCGTACCGCGGAAAGACCGAGCATGCCGGGCGGTCGGGGACTTGTTCTTTTGGTGGCAGTCGATGATGGCCTATGTGAACCACTAGGGAAAACGAGAGGACCAACAAGAATACGAGATCTTTGAGAAGGTAGTAATTACACCACTGGCAGAAACTCTCCATCAAGCACTGGCTACAGGGTGAAATATACCTTTCCACTTGAGAATTCGATCTCGCATGAAAGATCGACAAATCCATGACGATGCCTAGATGATTCTAACTTTGAGTTAGAAACGTGAATGCATCGAATTCCGAAGAGAACCACGATGAATATCGATAACTCGAATGTGGCCTCTTGTCGTAGATAGAAAAGAAGAATTTTCCAAAAACTGAAAGCTTTTCTTAAAGAAGAGGTATACGGATTTCCTTAAAGTACTATGAAGTTCCTCACAAAGTAAAAATCTGTGGATCAAATTTAAAGTAAAATTGTGGAATCTTGGTATAGGTGAAAACGAATAATTTTTGTAATATTTTAAAGTTAAAATGTACTCGTATTTTAAGTAATTAATAATAAATTATTCGTGCTTGTTTTCAGGTACTTAAAAGGTATTAAAGCTAATCTGGTAATACCAAAAAATATCCGTTTTTTCATGTACAAAAATATTTTCAGTTATACAAGTTGGTAATAGACGATGAGACGAGGCTTTAAGGTGATCTAGGGGCTCATGGTGGATCATCCGCAGATATTCGATGAAATACTTTCACGTTTCAAGGGGTTGCTTCAGGTACTTGGGCTACTGTAAAGATTCGAAAATCCGGAAGGACGGTTCGACAATAAAAGGAGAGAAAAAGAGCAAATATTTCGATCAGCTTAAAGCTTAGTTTACTGTTGATTACTTCGAGTAACGATTTTTGTCAGTATTGGAATCCTAAGGTTCTTTAATACTAGAACTACTATAATGTGTAATCTTCGCTGTAATCGTCGCAGAAATTTGGAGGATAATAAAAATTATCAAACAGTGAAAATGAAATTATAAATAAAAAAATTGGAGAATCAATAGTTCCTTTAAGTACTAAAATTATCGACTTGTAATGTGTATTAGATATATATATGTAAATAATAACAATTATAATTTTATGATGAGAATAATTAAGTACTTATTTTTACTATTCTTTCATTTTCAATGTTATTTTTTTCAATGTGTTAACAATTCCATTTCGACAGCTGCAAAAATAAGAAATTTGAGACCAATTATTTTGACTTGGTATTCGTTTAACTATAGCTATAGTATTCTAGTTATATCGCTGAATCCTATTATTTTCTGTGTGTACTACTGCACAATATTACTTCATCATTACAGCAAAATATGGCTATTTATTTATACCAGTTATTGGATATAGTGAACTGGTAGAAATCATAAATAATAGCCAAAAGTGACAATGAGATGAAGACATTGTAATTTTTTATGAAAATTCGTGGAAGTAAACTGACCTTCAGAATGACTAAGGATAAAAACGATCATGGTCCAGGTCAGTATACCTGAGACATAAAGCACGAATTCCATTCAGTTGAGCGATACTACTATGTAACACTTAATTCATAAGGGAAGACATTTTTGTTAACCTTAAGATCCAAACATTAAATGAGAGTCACGAGAAGTATCATTTTCGTACGCAACGATTAATCGATTAGAAATTCATAAAAAAAAATTTTAGGTTACTTTAACATACGATAACATTACTTCACTATTGTACAACAATGGCCCAAAAAAACGACCGTGTCGTGAAAGTGAAATAAAAGTGTTGCCCAGTACAAATAGGAATGTAAATAGGATCATTTGCGTGTTTACATGGAATAAAAAACTAAGCGAAACAATTCCGAATCATGATTGCGCCATCGCATGGTAATGGTTTCCCATAAGTGTCCTGCTTCATCGATTCACGAATTTTTTACAATTCGTCGTTTGTTTCCATTTAAATATAACAGATTTTAATGTATTCCTAAAGTAATATTTAAATTATTTGTATTATATAGTAAGACAGCTTAAATTAGGTAAATATTTGTTCAAAGTACATCTAAAGATAAATAACGAATAATGTATTACTCACTTTGACTGTAGACTGCACTAGCAATAACCAATAGCACAAGCGTTCCTTTGAGCCTCATGTTTAGAAAGCTTCCGTTTTCGTTAAACTTCAGTCTGTTCCGGCACCACTTGAACTCACTCACTATTGATTCTCGAGATCGAGCGAGATTAAACGCGATGCATCGATTAACGATCGAACAAAACTGTCCACACAATGTTCATTGACTTACTGGTATGTATAAACAACGCTCGTGTTAATTATCGGTAAAACGATGCATTTCGTTTATCGAGAAGAAAAGAAAAAGTATATATATTTGTCAAAAGAAATAAGAATACGTCAATGAAAAGACAGGACCATAAAAGCTCGGTCGCGAGCACGCTTTTCTTCGGCAAACGTGACTTCTCTCTTTCTCCCTTATTCCCTCTCTCTTGTTCCGTCCCTCTGAATAGTGCACCGTGAACCGGAGCGAATAGCACTTTCCAAGAGTTTTGTTGAGGAAGAACGCGATGAAATACCGTTTGGTACTGTTTCTTCTTAAAAGCTCGTTTATTTTGACTATAAAGTTACTCGATTGACCTTCACGATCACAGTCGATTATTAGGCACAAGAAAATTTCGGGAATAAGTATTAGTCTATTTTCTTTCCTTCGCGACTAATCAAAGATTTTTTATTTCGTAAAGCCACAGTGGATAACTGTGAGTTACAAATCACTTGATTCGTGCAGTGTCAAAGATTAGGACACCGTGAAATCTAAGGGTTGTAATTTAAGTTAAAACGAGCACGAAATAACCGCGACCCGTACCGTGCCGCGATGACTGCTTCTCGGTTGCGCGCACCATCTTCCCCCTGCTATGAATACACCACCGGTGTGCAGCATTCGATTAGCAATGGGTCTGATCTAATTTCAAGCTTCTTTAATTTATAATCTCACTAAAAATGAAACTCTATCTTCCCTTGATTGATTCTCCGGAAATAACCAGGAATATGTTTTGCAATACGAGTGCTCTTTAAAGGGAATATATTGATAAAGGAGTACTCCAAAAGTACGTCCGTTATTTTAAGGTTAAGAATCTTCAGGAAAGAAAATTCTCTCATAAAGGTATTTCTTATTTTATTATTATATATAATTAAACAATTTGTTGCGTACTAATTCAGTGTATGATTACTGAATTATGCTACTACATAGTTTTAGATCCTAGTTAGATTGCTAATCTAAATATTACATTAAAGTAATATTGTGATCGTTATTTTAAACCTCATATTAGCTTCTTTTGCATTTTGTTTTAGATGTGTATTAAGATTCATTTTAACCTGTTTCAACTCGCCCTTTGAATCTTGTTTGATGCCCTTACCATTTCGAATTTAATTTCGATAGATACTAGTGTACACCATTTTGAACTTTTGATATGCTAATTGAGTTTTTATTTCGTTGTTTTGCAGTTTTTAATCCTGTGCGGATAACTGTTTTGTGTAATGCATTTGCACATGCGCGACCAGCTTGATTCCGTTCCTACTTTCCACCGGCCTCGAATCCGGTATATCCGCACTTCCTTTATCCCCACTGTATCTAACTGAGCGCGTGTGCGGTCGACGCGTCAATTATATCTGAATCGAAGGCGACGTCTCATCGTGATTATACCGCAGAAATAAAAGTATCCTGGCTTTTCGTCAATGAGTTCAAGTGTTTGGATTTGTTTCTACCATTTTGTGCAAGTATTAATGTTATAGATCAATTTTAGATCCTAATTTACTTCATTTGAAGTGCATATAAGTATGTATTAAATTCCATATTTTTACATATCAAATTGAACAATTTATTATGTATACTCGACAATTATGTATATCCTTCCAGCATGTATAATATACAATTATATATTAGCAACCCGGATCTTAAGTATAGAAAACAAAATCGATATAGAAGTTAAGATAATCTTACTTCCACGCATATACTTTGAATCCAAGAATTACTTTACATTAAATATTTCAACGTATGGAAAAAAGTGAGTTAAAATCTGAAGTAAAATCTTTGCATATACATTTGGCCTAGAATTAATGTGATAAATAACTATTAAACACATTTATTTTTCGCCTTTAAGTCTCGAAGGAACAATGGATTATTCGTAGCCAGTGACAAGCATTAACTCGGCTTTTCTATTTAACCAAAGAGAAACAAAGTCGTGACGTAATATCGCAATGTTTCGCACAGCTCGCTTACAATACGCTGTTTTATCATTAGCCGCGGAGAACACAAGCGTAGGACCTCGCGATTTATGAATGATTCGAAGGAGTGAATGAACGGGGTCGACGCATGCGCACCACCGTTCAGATTCCATTCCCATTCCGATCTCGCCTCTATTCTCATTGCTTTATCCTTTTGCCGCGCTTCGTGTAGGCACCGTGAACGCACAACAGCTATAGAATTCATAAAAAGATCTGCCCAACCGGAGAACCCTTATCAAGGTCTCTCTGCCATTGTAGAGTCTATGTAAGTGGAAAAAGAACGCACGTTTCTTTCACCGTTACAAAAATATTTACACAACTACATAGAAACCAGCCCAGTCTAGGATAAATTAGGCTGCTAGCGGCTTTGTAATTTCACCTCGCAACAGGCGTGATTTTTCCTGAGTCCGATAAGACTGGGATACTGTTACTTTTCCCACATACCTTTTGCCTGACAGTCCTAAGTAACCAATATACTTTTTTCGAGCTATGTACATAGTATAAAATCAATAAAATTTACTGTTTTTAATAAGTTCTTAATAAATAGTAGAAAAATATAAAATAAAGTAATAACAAAAAGTTCTTTGTTAGTTGAAAATTTGTTACTGTTATATAATGATAAAATTAATCAATTTTCCTATTTTTCTGATATTTGTTTCTTTAACATTACTGAAATATTTTTAGTTGAAAACAACAAAAGCTGCATCATTGTATAAACTGTTCAGATAGGATCGCTTTAAAAAATTCTAGCTTCAGAAGATCACTATCTTCTGGACGTAGTCTTTGCATAATTTCCCAGAAATGGCTACAAAATTGGGCGTTAGTATTCAACAACGTATTACTCTAAATCAAACAATAATATTCATTTTCCTGGAAGGAATAGTCTTGACAGATTTTTCATCGTGATTAAACCAAAATTTCAATACGGTACATTCTATTAAAATTAAATTAAATTTTATCAAACATTCTTATGTTTGCTTTGATAAGCTATTCATATCAAATTTTCCACGTTGAAAGAAATATTACATAAATTAACAATCATTAATTTCTATTGTTATAATGGAATTTACCAATACTTCGAAGAAAGAACATTTGTAGTACAAATAACGGCTGTAATAACAGGTTACAACTTGTCGGTCCGAGCCATGAACAGTGGCTGTCTTTTTAAAATTCGCAGCTAACAGTCAAAACGTAACAAAGCCACTGAATATTGAAAGTAATCCCATAGAATATGAAGATATTTTTTTTTACAATATCAACAGTGAAGAATGAATGATTTTACTTTTGATCTTGGCTTTTCGATATTTCAGCAACTGAGCAATTTAATCCAAGTATAAGCCGTTTCAAAACACGTGGGAAAAATCGGGACCAGATAAATTAAATGTTTCCTTTTTATACAAGCATTAATTTTCGAAAAAATCGATTTTACACGCGCTTAGACTATGTAAGCCTTCAACTAAATCTATATTTTGCGGACTCTTTGTACAAATCTTCACCAAATTCATAAGCAAAACTTGAAATATTGATTGTTGTTACTTTTGAATGTTACTTTTATTATTACTCTTATTTAATTTCACTCCATGAACATTGGTACTAACATACCTTAACACTTCGATATGTTTCTCAGAATTAAAAAATCCTTTGTTTCATTTAATCATCTGCTTGAACATTAATATAAATTTTTGTAACTTTGTAAAAATTATAACAATATCATCATGTATTTTAAGAATTCCTTATATGAAATATAATGTGTGCCTCTTAAATTACATACAAATAAAATTTTTGTAATCATTCAGTTTGAAAAGATTTTTCAATTTACAGAAACAAAAAAGTTCAATTTATACATGAATAGGGATCAAATTTTTATGAAAACAATTGCCGGCATAAATTAAACTAATATCAAAACATGATACACAGCAATTACAAATCAATAAAATAGAGTTACGGTTAAGAACGCACTGTAACATAACAAGTTCAACCCGAAACTTTTGTTAAACTTAACCTTTCTTAAATATATTATGTACTATCAAAAATTTGAAAATCTGATGATGATGTTTAACAAATAATTAAAATATTATATAGATAATAATGAACAATTTACTTTCTATTCAATATGTTTGCACGTTTTATGCTCAAGACAAACATCATAGCAGCACTTCTCTTTTTTGTCGCAATCTTCATCGTCATCGCAAGAAGTCGGTGACGGAGAGTACCAATCGTATGTTCGTGGGCAATGGATTCTCAATGGTGGACAATACTTCTTAGTTTCTTTTTCATGAACAAATATTTCTGGCAACAACAATTCTAATGGTGGAGATTCAACAGCGACCATCCATAGCGGATTCAGAAAAGAATGCCAGACGTATTTCAGCCAATTACCAGCTTCTCCACTTGGACAACAGTAATATCGATGATCGATCGTCCTACACCAATATCTGCAAAGTTGTCTCCGACCTTTTTCATCAGCTTTCATTGCGCGAACGTGAACGATGAGATAGAATATCATAATGAATCTAAACATCCTAAAACTCTATTATATTTTTATTAATTTTGAGTTGACATACTTTAAGGAATTCAAATATTAAACATTAAGCTCAGATAAAAAATAAATAAAATATTGTTAGAAACAATATACTAAATACAAACTGAAGTAAGTTATTTTTAACAAAAAAAATTATTAAATATTTATTATTAATTAGTAACTAAATATAATTGTGTGAGTAAAAAATGTAAAGATATTAATATAAGAATACGACTATAATCTAGAATATTATTAAAAAGGTTAATGTTTCTCTTCAGAAGGATTATAAATATGTTTTCATACTAAATGTAGAGTTTGGTACTCACTTGCATTCTGGCTTCCATCTACGACAGACATCGCAGCGGACATCCTTATAAGTGATGGAAGAACTTCTCTTGCTTAAAGTTTCGCCATAAAGCAATTGTAAATTATTTCTATACAGCTAGAAAACTGTCAAAAGTATTATTAGAAATCTCATTCTATGAGACGTCGAAACAATACTGTTATGAATTCAGTGAAAAAAATAAAAATTTAGTAATGATTTGAGAAAACCACTTTCCATAGAAAGTAGTACCGCACATAAATTGTTTCTGTATTGTTTTTGTTTACAATAAAGGTAGCGTTAGTCAAAAGTTTTATAGGATTAGTTACCTGTAGTTTTCTTGTTTATGTATTTTCTCCAATTATAAATTGTATTGAATATCGATTTTCGAATAATTTAAAAGTCCTTGCAATTTGAAAACACCTGTTCTTCAATATATCTAACTAATGCCAATCGTCAATAAGGTACTAGAATATATTACTAAGTTACTAAATTCTGCTACTTTTAAATGTTCCCATAAAATGATTCAAAAAATTAAAAATTGTATAAATTGAATAAAGATTTCATTTGTATAAAACCTGTATTTAATATCAAAATATTGAATTTTTAAAGGAATAGTGAATTTATAAATTCAGATTTCAAATTCTCTGTGATTTAAAAAAATTAAAATATATTTCTATGTTGTCATTAATTTTTGTTAAAACGTTAATATATGTTATCAGTATTTAAAAATTAAATTATAGTTGTCTTTTCTTATAAAAAAGAGAGAAAGTTTCACCATTGTATTTTTGCAAGACATACTGCGCAATTTCAAAGGAAGAGTGCAATGGGACAGCTTACATACAAAAGATAAAAGCCTTTGTACATTCAGTCAATCAAATCGCTGTATAATGGAAAGTTTCGTTAGGATTGGTTAAAAGAGAAGAACTATGAGTCAGGATTAATAATAACCTTAAGACCTGTTCACATTGCACAGTTTGTAACGCATGACTGAATTTCTCATAGCGTTTCTAGATGCATGTTCAACGACGACACATAATGAAGAACAGTTACGAATAGTTATGAGGCGTCCTATCACATGTAGAGTTTCTCGGAAGCGAACGAATCAGAAAAATCCGTGCAAAGAGTAGGACACGTTCGCCATATAATCCCCCGTATTGCGCAGTGATAGAATGCGAGCGTACAGTTTTAAGGAATTTCTCGTCGAAAGATGCGAAGCAGTTAGCAGTGGTTAGCAGCAGTGTTGCCTTGTTCAGTCTTGTCTATAGTGATATATATAAGTGTGCGTATACAAGCAGCTAGTGCGGTGCATTCGGTGCAATAAAATCGTTGATCGTCGAGTCTTCTAACCCGTGCGTGGTGTTGTGTAGTGTCGCGCGAAGGTCGTGAACTTTTGCAAGATTATTCGAGAAGCTTGCGTCCGGAAGCACATTACGAAAGAAAAGGTTAAAAGGAAAGGTGGACGATTCTCCGCGAAAAGCCTCGGTAAAATGGCGGTGATCGGTACTCCGATTGGCGCTAAGCGATAGAAGAGGATCGCGCTCTATTCACGCTCGCCAAGTTTTGTTTTGATCTAGTTCGATATCTATTCTCACAGAAACCAGTCAATTCTTGTCATTTCCAATCATTCGCTTTCATTTCGTCGGATTCTATTTAGCATTGTGTGAAATTAAAACGGCGTCCCATTGACCGAAGGTATATAATTTAGTCGAGAACGATCAAGGTGGTAAGAAACCACCGTCGGAACGGTTTTCGACGGCCGTGATGCCGCATCGTTCCGACCTCGAATTTATCGAAAGGCCGAACGACAAGGACGACTCTATCAAATCCTTGTCGGCTTATCTATAGGTAAGTTTCGTGCCACGAGTGCATCTCTGCTTTCACCTCTTTTACTTATTCTGTGGTTGGTTTTCCCCATTACTTTAATACGTTGTTTCTTCCTATTTGTCATTTTCGAGATATATCTGTAATTTCGAAATGACATCGTGAATATTATCTCTTTGTTATTATTTTGTGCTACTTGAACAAGGCTAAGTTAGGTTAGGCCCTAGAAACTGATGACTCTGCATCTTAACAAGAATCCAGGCTGTTTTCGTTCCTATCGTCCTTCTAACGGTCCGAACTTCTAGAACATTAAAATTTTCACTGCAGCCTTTTTACATTTTTTCTAGAGAATTCCTTTGTTTACCATGTCTTTTTTTCTTTCATAATCGATGATGTATTCATTAATATAGATTCTCTTAAATAACTATTCACGCCTTCGGCAATACGTTTTGTCAAGATTTGTCATGTTTTCAATACTTATCGTGAGATTTATAACGTCATTGTTGCTGCTTTTAGGAATATTGTGTTATAAGTAATTGTGCTTCAAATTTCGATTTTTTTAATCGATAAAAATTTTTGTGCCATGTTATGTCGTTTTATTCGTAATATTTTTTGTATTATACAATAACTAAAAAAATTATCGATTTACAGATATTTATGTATTAATAACAACGATTCTATTTTTAGTGTCTGCATTAGCTTCCAAAAGCCATATGGAAAATTTTTTTAACTGACATAGAAATAATAAAGTAATTTTTATTTTAGTGATTTATTAAATTTTTTGAATATAATGATAGTAAATTTTATGATTTATGTACTGTATTAATTTCATAATAAACATAATTATTATGCAGTGGAAGGAAAATTTGTGAAATAGTGCATGAACATTCTAGAAAATAATCATTTAATATATTTCATAAGTATATGAAATAAGTGTAAAAAATATGCATTCTTTTATTATACTCCAATAATACTATTTTATTTAGTGGTAAATAAGTTTATCTTTATTGCATATGATTGCACAAATATTACATAAGTTTTATTTTCTAGTTATTGATAAAATAAAAACTCCCCAATAATAAAAAAAAATGAATTCAAATATTTATTGTATAACAATGACAGTATTTTGATTGTTAAAAGTATATAAGTGATTGGAGTAATACTTTTCATTATATATTAATAAACTGAATTATATTTGTATTTAATGAAGATTATTTTATAAATTTATTATAAATCAATGTTTCAGATTTTAAATTCTTAAAGAAACATTTTATCCGTCAAAATGAAAATTGATCGAAATAGGTTGAGAAAGTACACGTCAGAAGCGGTAAGTAATATTTTAATAATATGTTTGAAAATAACTGCTCTTTTCTAAATTTTCAAAAACATAGTTTACATGAATTTGACATGAATAAATTTTTAGCCTGCAAAATGTCAGGCGCTTATAAACAAGTTGCGCTCATGCTCCCATGCAGAATTGCTAGAGGAGCTAAAGCAAATAGATGCATGGACTTTTGGTAAATGTGAACTGTTCCATTGGGTCGATGTATTGGATCTTAGTGATAGCATTTTGGAAGAAGCTGCAGCTAAAAGTCCAGACAATCCATGGGAATTAGCCTGTGATCTCCCTCAGAATAGAGAGGTATAATTACAACATAATTTCATTTTTCTGTTTTATAAATCACTATTTTCATAATTTGTATCATTACATATATGATATTTACAAAAATGATTAAAATAATCTATTCTACATTTTATAGGCAAAAGAGCTTCTTCTTTGGGTTCTTCACCTTACAACATTGTTAATCGAACACTCATACTCAAGACATTTGTACAGCAGTATGGAACATCTAGTGACTTTATTATCAAGCTGTGACATGCATGTTGTGCTTGGTGTACTGAATATTCTCTATATGTTTAGTAAACGTAGCACTTTTATTGCACGTTCAAACAGTGACAAAAGGCAAGCTTTGTTAAGTAGGCTTACCCTTATAGCAGAGGTAAGATGCAAGCATTAATTAATAAGTATAATATCAGTATATTAGTATAAAATCAGTATATTAATATAAAATCAGTATAAAAAGTTTATTCTTAATCAATCCTAAATTAAATCTTTATATTTCAGAGTTGGGGTGGTAAAGAAAATGGATTTGGTTTAGCAGAATGTTGTAAAGAATATCCAGATAAGGTAATAAAAATTCCATAAGCAATTATCTTGTCCAAAATTTAAATTTTATATAATTTATTACAATTATTCTTTTTAATTTTCTCAGCCACTTCCTGCAAGTGCCACAACATTGCATTTTGAATTTTATGCAGAAAATTCAGCAACAGATACAAGTGCTACATCAAATACGGGTACAAAGAAATCTGCACAGACAAATTATGTAACATGTATACACATAGAAAATGTGGACAAGCTGGGTAAAACTCCAGCACAAATTATGAATGATTTGTTAAAAGTCAATAATGTACCACAAGATCGACAGGCAAGAGCTATCTTTTAAAATATTTAATTTAATATTTAACATACTTAATTATTTAATAAACGTGTAAATATTTAAGCTTACTCTTTTTTTAATATTAGATTGCGTTATTCACACATATAAGATTGGCACACAGTTTCTCTGACTACCGAAGACGATTGCAATGTGTACATGCCCGGTTGCAAGCATTATCAATACTTGTATATAATAGCGAACTACAAGAAAATACACATAGTTTGCTGCATCCTGGGCTATTAGAAGAGTTAGTTGAATTACTGGAACTTCCACATCCACATCTTGTTGAATTACGGGCAGCTGCATTAAGAACTCTTACTAGTATCATTCATTTAGATCGTAATCCACATTTTCCAAAGTAAATAAGTATTTAATAATATATCAAAACAAATATAATTCCTTTATTTAATTTTTTATGAAACTTCGTTATTTTAATAATCTGTTTTAATAATTTTGCAGAAAACCTAGTTCAAGACTAAATATGATAATCGATGTTACCGGAGCTAATTCATATCATGGATTTTTTCCTGTACTAATTCGTACTTGTATTTCAACATTAATTTCCCCGCAACCTGAAGGGCAACCGTTCCCATTATCGCTTGCAACAGCATTGTTTAGCTTTCTTTATCACCTATCAAGTTATGAAGCAGGTTGCGAAGCTCTAGTTAGTTGTGGTATGATGGAAAGCTTGTTGAAAATCATGAACTGGCCTGGTAGCGAGTTTGAACATTTAACAGTAAGATTCTTTCGTGATTGTATTGTATATTTAACGTGATAAAAGTTTTGTATTAAGTTTTAACTTTCTTTTTTTTACAGTTTGTAACAAGAGCAGTTCGTGTTATAGATTTAATAACGAATATAGATATGCAAGGATTCCAAGCTCACGGTGGTTTAGCGAGTTTTATTAACCGTCTTGATATGGAAGTAAATGTTTGTAGAAAAGAACAGCCTTTCGAAATAGAGCCAATACATTATCAGGATAATTCTCAATCTACTCGCGAGAGATCTATGGATCGTGATGAAAATTCTACGTCTTCACGTACTTACGATGAGCGCGAGGAGTCGTCGAATCCTATGGAATTTTCTGAAGATGAAAACATGAGTTCTAAAACAGATGATAAGAACGAACAAATGCCAGATTATTCGGCTGGGAAGACTGGAAGAACTTGCCTACCACAACGAGTTACACTTTTGAAAGCGCTATTAAATTTTATCAAGAAAATTATTCAAGATCCCACATTTTCTGATAGTATTAGACATGTTATGGAGGGTACTTTACCTTCCTCTTTGAGACACATTATTAGTAATTCAGAGTATTACGGGCCTTCTTTGTTCCTTATTGCAACGGATGCTGTAACGGTATATGTTTTCCAAGAACCATCTTTATTATCATCTTTGCAGGATAATGGATTAACTGATCTTGTATTGCATGCTTTACTAATTAAAGAAGTAAGTAAACATTATTTGGCTAGATTATATAAATAATGTTAAAAAAGGAAATAATATTTATCAACATGTTAACGTCGTGTACAGATTCCTGCCAGTAGAGAAGTTCTAGGATCACTGCCTAACGTGTTTAGTGCTTTATGTCTGAATCAGCGTGGGCTAGAATCATTCGTAAAGAGACGCCCTTTCGAACGCTTGTTTAAAGTGTTACTGTCACCACTTTACCTACCTGCAATGAACCGACGTCGAAGTACAGATCCATTGGGTGATACAGCTTCAAATTTAGGCAATGCAATGGACGAGTTAATGAGACATCAGCCAAGTCTAAAAGTTGATGCGATCGCTGCTGTCATAAAGGTACTGTATAACGCTTAACGAATGTAGGATTGAATATAAATTACTATAAAAGTAAAATAATTTTCATATTACTAAATTATTCAACTTCTTTTTGTGTACAGCTACTAGAAGAGCTCTGTGTATTAGGTTGTGATCCTCGTTACATATGCTTACAAGCAGAAGATAAATTCGATAATTCTCAATCGAATACTACTTCTGGAAATCGTCAATCTTCTGGACAATCTGTTGGAGTTGGAGTTGGAGATACTGGTGGAGGTAGAGGTGGTGGGAGTGAAAGTAGTAGCGACGAAGAAGAAGAGGATGAGGAAGAAGCCAGTACAAGCTCTCATCCACAACGATGTTCGTCGTCTACTGCTCAACCAGTTCCACTACCTCAGCCTAGGGAAAAGACTCCAATAGCTTTAATGGAATACATACAAAATGTTACAAAATTCGTTGATGCTATTCTTAGTAACAATTCCACAGACGATCACTGCAGAGAATTTGTGGCCCAAAAAGGTCTCGTACCACTACTATCAATTCTGGGGTTACCTAATCTCCCGGTGGATCATTCGGTTGCCCAAACGGCACAAGCTGTAGCTTCAGTTTGTAAAAGTATCTTAAACCTTGCACATGAGCCACTAGTTCTTAAGACTGGTTTGTCCCAGTTGAATGAAGTTTTGAATCTATTGAAACCATTGTATAGTTATATGGAAGCCCCTGGAGGGTCTGTCTTACTACACGAACTTGTTAACGCCCAGAACCTAGAAACAGCTTTTACTAGTGATACGGCAACACCTTTGCTTCATGCTATGAATGCCGCTTACGGTTACATAATAATGTTCGCACAAGTGTGTCGTACTAGCCAAAGTGAAATTAGAAACTTAGCCATGAATCATTGGGGTTCAGAGCTAGGTTTAACTGTTCTGAAAGGTTTATCAGAATTGTATACAGCTCTAATCTGGGAAAGTACAGCCTTATTAGCATTGACTACGGAAGATTTTATTCCT